TTATTTTAGGTACTCATAGGGTTAAAATGTCACTGCCATTTGACAGAGACCTTCTTCTCCGTGGTTGGGATCAGGGAGCTGAAACGTTTCCTGTTTAATTTACCCTTCTTTCTTTCTTTTTTTTTTTGGGAGACTGTTGGGAAAAATAAAAAAAAAGTTTGAAATCTAGCACATCCTTTTCAAAAAGATATTTTTAAAAAGTCATTTCATTCCATCAGCAAATCTTTACTGAGAGTCCATATGCTTCTGAGAATAGTTTTTCAGTAGTAAAGTTTAAAAATGATTATTGTTATCAGTCATAGGAAAATGCATCCCATAATTTGTTGATTTCTTTTGATGTTTGACATTCCAGCAGTCAGGTACCTGAGGATCTCTTTAATCCATCCTCCTGGTCAACTTGGCTGTCTCCTGCTCCCCAGGGTTTTTTATTTATTTATTTTTAAATACATCTGTTTATTTTCAAATAAGGTTGCTGCATAAAAAATACCCTCTTTACTGTTCAAATTGAATTCAAACTGGTTTTTAATAAATATTTATTTTTTTAAATAAAAATCTGGATCTTTTACTAGCTTAATCTGCAACCCACGGAATCTTGGTCCCAGCCCTGGCCCCTCAGCATTCTCATTGTTCAGGGTCCCTGAGAAGCAGCTGATTAAGTTTGAACTGCCGAGTTTGCAGTACAAAAAACCTTGCAGTCCAGTGCTTATCCTACAGCACTACACCAGGGTTCCTACTTCCTCTCAACTTCTGAACGGACAACCAAGGGACCCACGCACGAGGTCTCTACATCCAACGGATGTATTTAATCCAATTCTCCTTCACTCAAATTTCACTTTCATCTGGAAGAAGTAGACAAAGGTGTTTTTGTTTTTTTAACATTTGGGTTTAATTGTTAAGATAGCCATTTCACTTATTTCTGCATTTTTGTTGTTGCCAGGTGCCGTCTTGTTGATTCTGACTCAAGAACCTCATAAGACAAGCTAGAACTGGTCCACGGTCATCATCTTTACGGGAGCCGATTAGCAGGTAGTTCTCCTGTGGAACCGCTGGGCAGATTTGAGCTACCAGTGTGTCGGTTAGTAGAAGAGTACTTTACCATTACACTGTCAGAACTCCTTTGGTTCTGTATTAAAAGCAGTCATTGGGCTATGAATGAGATCCATTTCGAAGTCTGTCTTTAAGTTGAATTCGTAGGTAAGTCAGAACAGGTACATACAGTTTCTATTTAGGCATCAGGTAGCCAAATGTTTGTCTTATTATATAGCATATATTTGACATTTCTCGCTCTATAAAACTGGAGTCTTCGTGTGGTGCTGTAGGATAAATACTGGACCGCAAAGTCAGTTTGAACCACAAGGTCGAGTTGGAACCGACTTGACGGCCGTTAACAACAACATATATATAAAACATTTCCAAATACACGGAACATCTTGGTGTTAGGTTGTTAAGTGCTGTAGAGTTGGTTTCCAACTCACTGCAACCCTGTACAGGATTTTCAAGGCTTACAAATCATTGCAGGAACTTGTGTGTGGTGCTGTAGGGTCAGCACTGGACTGTGAACCACAAAGTCAGCAGTTCAAACCCAGATTTGCTATCAGTTGGAACTGACTTGATGGCATTTAACAACAAAAACAACAACAAAGCTTTATAGGATCGAAATCCTCATCTTGGAGAGGCTGGTGGGCTGGAACTGCTGACCTTGTGGCTAGCAGTCCAGTGCTTGCTCTACAATGCCACTGGGCTCCCGAAAACATTTTAAAAATGAAATAATGATTGGTTGGTGGTTGATGAGGTGCTGTTGAGTCACTTTGAACTCATAGCAAACTTATATAGAGTTTCTGAGGCTATGAATCTTCACAAGAGCAGAAAGCCTCATCTTTCTCTCTTGGAGCAATACAACAACAACAATAACAATAGTTGTTGTTGTTGTCAGGTGCCATAGCGACCCCATGCACAGCAGAACGAAACAATGTCCGATCCTGGGCCAACCTCACTACCGCTGCCACACTTGACGCCATCAATGATGCCACATGGCTGATCCATCTCGTTGGGGGTCTTCAAAGTAATTATATATATAGTACTGTACTGAAGAGAGAGAAACTGTGTGTGTAAGTATATGTTCGAATGTATATAGTACTATAAACAAATTGAAGAAAGCATTCTGAAAACAGTATGTTGCCGTTGTTAAGTGCCATGGAGTCGGTAACTCAGAGCGGTCCTTCAGCTGGTGCGTTTGAATCCACTGACCTTGCAGTTCAAACTGACTTTGTGGTCCAGGTGTATTATTCTGCAGTGCCGCAGTGCCACCAGGACACCAAAACAGTACAGATACAAAACAAAACAAAACAACAAAAAAACCCAAAGGAAAAAAGATATGATTAAAAGATACTATGGAATGAATCATCAATGTCTTATTTATCTGAAGGTGCAGTGTGAGGAGTTAGGGTAGCATTATTAATTGGATAATTTAGAAGAAGTTGTTAAAGATGATGTATCTGCGCTGGAGAGCCGAGGCTTGATTCAGCTGATGGAGAGGAAGTATTTACAACCGGAGTTAATTTCTTGAAGTAGGCATCCAGGGATATACGATAACTATAGTAAAACCTCTCTGTGTTAGGATCTTGCTCCTCTAACATCGCCATTTCTGCTTCAATGAGACAAAAGGCTTCAGCTGACTCTTGCTTCAAAATTTTTTTCACTTCTGGATGTTTTTTAGGTCCTGGTCTTCTTTCTCAAATATTTTTCTTTTCTTTTCTTTTTTTTTTTTTTGATGCCTCACCAGCACTTACATCAGATTTACAATTTGAAGGCAGGGTTACAAGGGTAACTAAGAGAAAAATGTAAGCCAAAAACAACGCTATACACTCCACACAGTGTTAGTGGCAACATGATCCGACTTAAAAAGGTAGGCGGCGTTCTCTTCTTCAAGCTGACAAATGCGGGCACCACGCAATGTTTCCACAAGGGTCACAGAGCAGTGCTTGCGTTCCTTATTTGGAACCATTGTCTTTAACTCAATAATTTTAATATAATAGGCTTTATGGGGCAGTCTGTCCTCAAATATAAGTTGTCCATCCTTAACTTGGGGACTTACTGAATGTTTTGCAATAAGTAAACATTTCCCCTAAGTTTTGGGGTTCTAATTGAAGGTCATAGTTAACCTGGAAGCAGAGGAGAATTCATGCTTCTGGTGGTATCCTGGTGGCCAGCACTAGCTGGGACCAGCTGAGGGACTGCTTGACTACTTGGCCCAGCCCCAGCCCAGGACCAAATGGAGTCTCAACAAATGTATCAGTGTTGCCCACAGCTTTCTGGGGAGTCCAGGCCTCCTGAGTCCTGGCACCTGTGTTCCTTCTGCAAAATCATTTCTCATGTCAAGAGGTTTGAGCCCCGTTAGATGACTTGCATAGGCCATGTAAGAAGTTACTCTTTGTTACGTGGTCTTTGAAACAACTTTTTTTCTTCTTCTTCTTTTTATATCCAGGGCTTCACACATTTGTTGACCTCTCACTTCACGACTTGTCACCTATGTGGATCTCCACGAAACCCATTTTGTTGAATCAATTTGGACTCACAGTGACCCTGTAGGTTTTCTAAGACTATAATCTTTATGGAAGCATACTGCCACATCTTTCTCCTCAGGAGCGACTGGTGGGTTCAAATTGCTCACCTTTCAGTTAGCAGCTGAGCACTTTAACCATGGTGCCACCAGGTCTCCTTGTGTGGGTCTACAGTCAGGAAAACCTAAGGTTCTAGTTTTGTTCCTCTAGCAGCCACCCAGAATGGTGTCTTTATATATTCTTAAAAAAAAAAAGTGATTGGGTGACGTAAATATGACAAACCACTTGCCATTTCAACTATATTGATCTGCACAGTTCAGTGATATTGATCCCATTGACCATGTTTTGCAATTGTTACCACTTTAAAGAAAAATCTTTGAAAGCCATAGACTCTTTTTTTTTGCAAATGAAGTTACAACTCCCCAAATATTACAGAGTCAGAGGAATCTCCTTGTTGAAGAGGACCGGAGCCCCAGGTCTTCGGAAGAGCTGGTACTCTGAGAACACAGGGCAAAGCCATGACTCGGCTCCACGGGTGTGGGAGGGCTCCCAGAAGTCATGCACAAGTTAGAATGAAAGGACTCAACTGAGTAAACCCATCTGTGTCCTCATGGCCCTTGACTCTGGAGGCAAACTGCCTTCTTGAGGCAAAGAACCTCCCATCTTCTTTTCTCTTGGGTTGGTGGGTGTGGGCCTGTCAGCTGCAGGCAGTAACATTTTGATGACCGCAGCCCCAGGTAGTGAGGACAAGCCACCGACCATGGGAGCTCAGTAAACTTAGGGCTCATCGTCTTCCTCCTATGGCTGGAGCAGGTGGAGAGATGTGGGCTCCTCGTCACAACCATGTAGCCTAGGAATCACATGGGTTCCCTCACTGGGGGACAGGGCTCTGGGCCAGACCACAGCAGTTACCTCACCAGGCTGGCTGGGCCACGATCTGGTTCTTGGAGCCAGCCAGGCACTGAGCCCATTGGGAGACCTTGGGTAAGCAGTGTCTGCCATTGAGCCGCAATTCTCGTGTGTACAGTTTCTGTTTTCTGCAGCTCTCGTGTTTCGCTGGCAACAGTACATGCAGAGACTTGAGTGATTGTAGTCTCTGAGTTAGTGATGCCGGCTGTTTTTCTTCACACCAACCATCACCTCCCTACTCAAGAGCCCCAGTGGCCTTGGAAGAGGCCACAGATCAAAGGCCCCCAGGAAGCTTTAACAGGGTGCATAGAGGGGGCAGTGCCAAGTGAGACTGTGTGGATGGAAGACCCAGAAATGTAGTGCTGCCACTTCTATCTAGGACCAGCTTAGCCATAGGAGCTATCTGGGTGGTGGTGGTGGTGGTGGGGGTGGGGGGGAGCTTCACCTTGGCACCCTCCATCAGCTCTGCTGCTTTCGCTTGTACCTCAGCCAATTCTGGGGGCGAGTCCCTGTGTGCAAACTGGGACCTACCTGCTCGTTCACGTGGCACATGATGAGGTTGTGGTCATCACGGGAGTAGGCCACACGGATGTACTTGAGCCAACTGCTGGCCCCGGTCTGGTTAGTGTCCACACAGAACTTCTCTCCACCTAGATCTTCCGAAATCTGCTCAGGAAGAGAGAGGACAAAGAGGGTCAGAGGTGTCTCATCTGTAGGAGTCTACATACTGGGCACCTGCCCAACCAGCCACCAGGTGGTGTGGGCTTTGGGATAGGAAGGCAGCTCAATCCCGGACACCAACTGGCCACAGCCTGTCTGTGTCCAGGAGTCTTCGATGGTTAACAGAGAGGCTGGGGACATGTTTTCCTTTTTCTCACTGCTCTGGCCAGGTGAGAAAGAGAACCCTAGCAGAGGCTTCCTTCCCTCCCTGCAAGACTGCCCCCCTGGGGAGAAAGCAGAGGCTTCTTTCTCATGCTGAGAAGTAGAAAGGCTGCACTGGCAGAAGATGCAGAATAACAAGGTGCCCAGGTAGACACAGTACTCATTTGACAGGGAGTTTGCATGGGCAGGTGTATCCAGGTAGATGGGGCATCCTGGTGGACATAGGTAGTCATGTGGCAGGGGAGTCCAGGTGGGCAGAGGTGAGGGAAATAAGGGAGTCAGAAGGTCTCAGTGAAGTCAGGGCCGTGGGGGAAGCCACCCATCTTAGCAAAAAGGGAAAAGGTAATAAAAAACAATTCCAAATCACCCCCACCCCTCCAACAAAAATAAAACCCCAAAATGCCAAGTGTTGGCAAGGCTGTGGAGACACAAGAACCTTAATACATGTCGGGTGGGAATGTAGGCTGGTGCAGTCACTGTAGAAAACAGTGTGGCAGCTCTTTCCAAAGTTAAACGCAGAATGATCACATGACCCAGCAATTCCACTCCTAGGTGTACGCCCAAGACACTTGGAAACAGCGATGCGGCCAGCCACGTGTACACTCAGATTCACTGTAGCACCATCTACAACAGCCACAAGGTGGAAGCAACCCAAGTGGCCATCCACAGATGAACAGAGAAACAAAATCTTGTCTATACACACAATGGAACACTTGTTGTTGTTGTTATGTGCTGTGGAGTCGGTTCCGACTCATAGCGACCCTGTGCAGGGTTTCTGAGGCTGTAAATCTTTATGGGAGCAGAAAACCTCCTCTTTCTCCCGCGGAACAGCTGGTAGTTTTGAACTGCTGACCCTGAGGTTAACAGCCCAATTTGTAACCTGTACGCTACCAGAGCTCGTTAATGGAACACTAGTGAGCTCTGAAAGGAATGAAGGATTGAGACATGTTACCACACAGATAAGGCCTAAAAGCGTTATGCCGAGCGAAAGAAGACAGCCGTAAAATACTCTTGGTGCAGGATTCCATTAAGATGAAATGGTCAGAATATGCAAATCCACAGAGACTGTGATGGGTGCTAATGATTGGGGACAAGGGAATGGGGGCTAACTATTTATGGTATGGTTTAGTTCAATGTTTCCTTTTGGGGTGCAGAGAAAGTCTGGGACTCGATGGAGGTGGTGGCTAACACTATAAATGTACTGGGACTCGATGGAGGTGGTGGCTAACACTATAAATGTACTGGGACTC